GGCCTTTCGTGCTTGTTCTGTCCACTGCCCCCTGGACTAAGAGGGCCTTGAGTGTGAGCTTGTCTCACCTGGCATGGGGTCAGTGTTTCCAGAAACTTGAGGGCCAAGTTCCCCAAAGCAGACGAGCCTCTTCCTACTCTGTGGGGGAGTGCAATGTGCTGAGCTTTGTTGAGCACCTTCAATGGGCCAGACTCTGGTGTCCTCTGCCAAGGGCAGGGCAGTCAGAGCCATCCTTTAAGATGTTTGCCAGATCACATTTCTCCTCTGCTCAAAACTCACCCCCTCCCCCAGCAAAAGTAAAGTCCTCGAAATAGCCACGGCCCAGTGTGATTGGCCTGCTCTCCACCCTCATCTTCTGTTCCCCTCTCTCGGCTCACACTCAGTCCTGCCTCAGATAGATCTGGCAGGATGCTGACCCTTGCCGTTCCCTGTGCCTGGACCCTAGGCATCCCCAGGGACCCTCCCTGCCTCCTTCAAGTCTTTGCTGAAAGGTCGTCATCTCTGTTCCGCCCACCCTGATCACCTGCATTCCTCATCCATGTATCTGCTTTATTTCTTTCTTTTCTTTTTTTCCCCATAGCCTGTTTTACCTTTGAAGACTATAAAATAGAGTTTTTAGGTCTGTTTTTCAGTAACTGTCTTCTCCCATAGAAATGCGAGCTTCTCTTGGGGCAGGGATTTTTATGTTTTATTCGGTTCTGTATCTCTAATGGCTAGAGCACTGCCTGGCTCATGGTAGGTGCTCAGTAAATGCCTGTTGCATGAATGCACACCTGTTCTCAGCTTTCCTCGCCTCTTTTAGCATCTCTGAGAAGTGTCCCCACGGTTCCTGCTCATTCTTCTCTCCTTCTTTGTATGCCCCCCAGCTGGTGCGAAGCGAAGCTGATTCGGAAGGGTGCTCCACTCATGCACTTAAGGATGTCTGCACCTGGAGTTGCTGAATATTCAATTTACAAAGCCCCTGGAATTGCCCTTTTCCTTGAAGAGAAGACTAGCCATTTGGCTAAGAAGAGACTAGTATCCAGGAAGAAAAATCTAGATTTATCTCTTACTTGATCAGAAAGGAGAGGAATGTTGTTCACCCTTTGCTTCTTGGATTGATCCAGTATTTATAGGCTGGGACAGAGCAGATCCATTTCACAAAATAAATTCTTCACGAAAATGAGATGCGTGCCCTGATGCGCTCTGACAACCCTAGCCAGGAGCCAGGCCACTTGGATCTGATCCTGCCCAGGCCGTGGCGGGCCGTGGCCCCAGGAAAGTGCTGCTCCCCACCGATGCTCTCTCCGACTAGACCAGGTGTTGCAAGGCTCCTCCAAGTTCTGGGGTCCTCTGCTAAGGGCAGAGTAGTCAGAGCCAACCTTTCAAGATGTTTACCAGATCGCGGCTCTCCTCTGCTCAAAACTCCCCGCCTGCCCCCAGCAAAAGCAAAGCCTCACGCAGGAAGCTCTTCCCTCCGTGAGGCTGCCTTCCGGGCAAATGGGGGCATTGTCTTTGTCATCCTGATGATCTGATAGGTGGAGGCACGTCAGCAGTGCTGAGAGCTGAGGCAGGGCAGGTGGTGGGAGAGAGCACAGAGTGGGGAGGCCAGCTGGCAAAGGGGTGCTGGGGCCTGAGACTGAAACTTACAGACTCCACTTTCCACGGCCTATGACTGTGAGCCAATATTGCACAGCATTATAAAGCATGGCTTATGGGGCATTAGGACACCCACTTCCACATACACACACCAAATCTCCTTGCACCCCAGATTTTGGAATTCTACTGCAGCATAAGGTTGTCCTCCTTCCAGTCCTGTCTCGAAACGTGAGCCCTCCAGAGAGGAAGCGCGGTCGAGCTCTGCATCATGAGAATCTGTGTATCTGCAGGGAGATGTAACTGTGGCCAGCACAAGACTATGGAGAAAGTGTGAAAGGAAGTTGCTTTTTTTCCTTAATCCTTAACCAAAGAATTCCATCCTTAGGAAGTTGCTTTTTATTTGTTTATTTTGGCTCAAGGGAGCATTGATAAAGGCAGTTGTTGAAGGGAGAGTGGATAAAAGATGCTGAGGTGGAGGGGGCAGGACCAGCCATCTTTGTGAGGGAGCTCCCTGGCACGTAGTAGGTGCTTAAACTTTTGTGTATGATCAACGGTCTTGGCTTGTAACTAGACCAAGGTGGCAAACCAGAATGGAGGGAGGCTGACCCAGCACCTCCCAGAAGCATTTACCGAGTCAAGGAAGAGATTCTTCTTGCCTGTCTGTGATAGCATTGCATTGCCTTTCAGCTGGAGGAGATCAGAAAGGCACTCACTACTAGATCACGGGAGACGCCTGGGCTTCAGCCCCTTGCTGCTTGGAAGGTGGTGATCGCAATGGCCTGGGAGGGTTTTAGAATGGCAGAGTATCAGGCCCACCCCAAAGCTCCCAAATTAGAATGGCATTTTAACAAGACCCCCTAGGAGACTGTATACATGCTTCAGTTTGAGAAGCGCTGGTCTGCGTTACAAACGAGGAAACTTGCTACTCCCTGAACACCTGCATCGAGGTAGATTCACAGCAACCTAGAACTGGATGACACTCCCTCTCAGCAGGGCGCATGACAATATCATAGCCTTTGCTTTCTTAAAAGATCTTTATGAGATAAATAGTCTGATAATCTTCTGAATTTCTACAAATATGGAGTCAATGATCCTATCCTGTTCAATACTCAGTGCCTCTTACACAAAGCTCCAGGAAAGAAAATAAAAACAAACAGGACTAATATGTTTACTCTTTTCCCATAACTGATGCTATTTCCCCTTTTACTGTGGTAGGATACTCAGGCATATGTTCACGACTAAATCATTTTTATTAAGTATATTGAAATGCTACTTTCTTTCCCCTAGTCCATGATTTTCTGATTTACTGTTAGCCTATTGCTAAGCTTTTTGTTGTAAGCTGTCCCAAGCAGCCTTTGGAAAAAGCCAACCATGTACGCGAAATAAATAGGAAACTTCTCTGCCCTCCAGTAAGAGAGCCCTCTTTCTCCTTGACTGCTGTCACCTTTCATGGTTGTGGCATGTCCTCTGCTGGATTTTTGAGCCAAGGACAGAGTGTTTGGGAGAAGGAGGCCCCCTTGGACTTCTGCCAGGAGTTTCTGAGAAAGGAAAACCCAATCAGTTGGGGGTCACTGGGGGGAAATCTGCACAGGATGCTCACACTGTGCTCCTCCCTGCCTCCTCCCTGCGCTTCAGAGCCCACCTCAACACATCTGGAGTTCGGGGTGCCGTCCTCCCTGTCTCCACACACAGCCTGGGGCAGCAACGATGGGACAGGTGGCTGGCGCTCACTCAGCACAGCAGGGGCGGTGGAAAGACAAGTGTTAGCTGAGGTTTGGCTTGAGGGGAGGCAGGTCACAGCCAGGTCCTAGCCCAGCTCAGCATAGGCAAGGTGTAAAAGTCACTGGCCTCAAGGTCATCTGCAAGCACACTGTGATCAGAAGCGGAGATAAATCTGCCCAGTGGAGCTGGGGTATGTTTCCTGTTCTCTGCTTCCTGGGTCTTGGCCCTCAAGGCGAGGGAAGGGAAGTGATGTTTGCTGAAGTCCCACTTGGGGCAGGCACCGTGCTACAATGAGATCCGCCCCCTTCTATCCCCACTGAGACCCTGCAGAATGGTCTCCTCTTCAGATGAGGAAGTGACTTTCTTAGCATCATGCAGTGAGGAAATGGCAGATCTGGGATTTGGACCAGGTTTGCCTGCCTCTCAGATCTTCTGCTACCTTTGACCCACTAGGTGGAGGGCTCCTGTGAGCTGTGGCTTACATACCTGTGGTGATCACTTAGTACTGAGGACTAGGACCAGCTTGGTATAAGGGCCCAGCAGGGGCGATCCATGCAAGGAGATGAACCTGGGGGATTTTCTCCCAAACCCTACTCACAGAGCTCCCTGGCCTGCCTAGGTGAGATCTTACAAGCTGTCTCAACCACTGATTGTGTCTACCTGGATGCAGGTCTGTGGAATATCAGGCATGTCACCGAGAGTCTGGTTCTATCTGGTATGCTACCTGATTTCATGGACACACACACAGAGGGCCATCATCTCAGAGCCATCTTTAGGAATTTGCTGGTTATAGCAGCCTGGGAGAAACCAAGTCCCTGCAAGGAAAGATAAGGGAGATAACAGCTCAGGACCCTCCCTCAAGGGTCTTGGGCCACAGCTAGCCAGGCCTGGGGCCTCCAGGGGAGAGGAGAGGTGAGACCTTGGCTTCTGGGGGCCTCCATAGGGTAAAGGAACATGCACAGGCTTTGAAACCACATGGACCTGGTTCAAATTTCACTTCTCCGCTGAGTCTGAGACCTCTCAGCTGTTTGTAAAAGTTAAGTTCCCAGGGAAGTGCTGGGCAGTTAGTAGGTGTTCGTTAAAAGGCTGTCAGATCATCTGAAAGGAAAAGAAAGGGCATTCAGAGAGGAAGGCAACTACTAAATAAACCAGTTCCAAAAGGAAATATACCTCCAGGCAGGCTCTGCTACTCCCCCTTGGGAAAGGTCTTTTTCCTTATCCTATGTGATGATCTAAACCCTCCTCCTCTCTGAGATACCTGCAGGGAAATTGCTTTCCTCTGGCCTTCCCATCTCCTACAGGGAGGAACCCTAGGTGGGCACAAGAGGCCAGCTGCCGCTCCTCCCTCCTCTTCTCACACGAACAGTGGGTGTTGTGGGCATTCTGGTCTGGGAATCAGGAAACCTGGTTATGCCCCACCCCCATGGCTGGCTGACTCCTAAAATCTCCTCTTGCTGGACCTCGCACTCTTGCCAGCTTGAGGTGTCCGAGATCTTGGTGTTGGAAACTTCCCCTGCTGCTTGGAGAGTTGCTAGGAACAGGCCTTGTCCTGTGCAAGGGAGGAGGCACTTCGGGAGATGGGGCTGGGGAGGGAGGAGGCACTTCGGGAGATGGGGCTGGGGAGGGAGGAGGCACTTCGGGAGATGGGGCTGGGGAGGGAGGAGGC